GTCGGCAGCCCGCCGAAAGGTCAACATTTAACGGAGACGCCTGGGGGAGATGAGAAACGCGGACACAATATAAAAACTGCACAGAATAATTCCTCTGACCTCGCGAAGAAGATATGATCGTGTTGCTCTTGACGGTGGGTGTGGAGATGGCCGTTACCCAATCTGTGTGGCCCTCAAGGACACCCTTGAAGACGAGGGGGGAGTCCACTGAAACGCTCATTTTCGCAGAGGCTGACAGAGCGAAACAGTGAAAAACGTAAAGCGCAAACACTCAGGAACATTGCGCATTCCCCCACTTTAGGTACAGGGGGATTGTATCATTTCGACGCATGCCGCGTGGGGAGCTGCGACTGGCGGGGTGCAGCACCAGAGCAACATAGCGGCTCCCCGCATGCATGAGTCCCATAAATGGGACTCCTTGTGCCAGATCATCCGTATTATCACCTTCTTTGATATTCGTAAGGTTGCGTTTTGCTGAATTGTTTGCACGGCATTTTACAGTGAAGGACGAGCGAAATGTAGGGACGCAACTTCAGCCGTGGGTGCCAAGGCGTTATGAGCATTGGTTTCTCGAGTTTAGGGGAGTAGAGCGCTTATCTACTAGAATTGAAGATGGCCTGTATAAAAGCTATAGTACATAAGGAAATATTTAAGGCCCATTTAGGCCATATCAGTTCTGAGGATAAGTTGTCGCGATGCAAAACTGGCAGCTTCAAGGGAAACAGTATAAAAGTTGAAGGCCATTTCTAGCGGATGAAATAGTACAACGTGGCATTCGATCATTCTGATCCTGAGTGCACAGTATGTACAATAATGACAACAGGAAACCTCATATAGGGTCTAAGTGTATGAGCGGCGTCTGGCGTGGTAATTTCTGTGGGCACAGAGTGGACAGGGGAATCTGCCAATATGCCACTGTGGAGTGCTGGAAAATTTTCTATTTCTTGAAGTAACCTTGGTGAAGCGACGCTCAGAGGAGTTATGCATATGAGGAAGCACCACATGCGCCGGAAAACCCAATAGGTGCGAACCAGTGGAAGCGTCCCCCACTCTAAGAACTCAGCACACGCATAAAGTGGTTGTGCGTTAGAGAGGCAAATAGAACTGAAGTTGTTCATGAAGGGATCGGCGGACCAAGTTTGTCCCCGTGTCCCCTACGCCGCACCACCTCTGCGCGGTTCAACCATTCTCGCTACTGTCCCGTGGCTGAGAGCTCTTGAAGTTAGTAGATAGTAGCATTCAGGACCACAGAGAACACGTAAATTGATCATTTATTGTATCACAGTGAGGACGACTGATTTAGACACGGTCTCTCGCTTTCATCTTCTTGAGATGTTGAGGAAGGCTCTCGTCCCACACCTTTTCTTAGGAGTCAGTAGCTTCTAAACAGGAGAATTTGCAGGCAGGCCGTTCCATCCATTTCTACAATGCGTGGATACAACCGTATTCCGTTGAAGCTTGTCACTGCGTGCCCGTAATGCGCACTGCAGCCCGTACTCTGAGCCTAATTTCAGAGTACACAAGGCCTGATTTCTCGATAATTAGGTCCCTTTGCTGGGTTGCAGTACCTGCGTATTACATCGATCCACATATTTTGTGTTGTATGACGCCGAATGCCGTTGCTAGGCAGCATTTCAGTGCTGCGCTTTACAGCTTGCCAACAAGAAAATCGGCGATCTCAACGAGGTAACCGTCGGGCTTCCTTTTCCTACTCTTGGGTGAAACAAAGTGGCTTCAAGGGAACCAGATGGAGATTCAGGAGACTGGTAGTGAGCTGCAACGCGTCTGTTTCGCGAATCTGCAGGAAGGCTCCGTCGGTCCCGCGAACGCATGGTGCGTCGCGCCCTGGCTACTCAGGGTATGCGCATGAGGCTGCATACTGAAGTTGTGCAGTGGCAGACCTTGTTGGAGTCAGGCACTATCAAGTGATCGTCTTTCCCCACAAGGTATTTTGTGCTCTCAGTCCCTGGACATGCAAGCCCAAAAACTACAAGATGCTTTAGGGTCACTGGCTCCCTTGGTGAGGTAGTGTTAAATACCACAAGCTAAGTAGAGAGTACACCAGGATATTTGCTATCTTTGCTCAAGAGCTGCCACTATACGCCATTATAGAGGTCGATGCGATGCTCTCTCTGTTTGCGCCAACCTTCGTTTTTCCAAGAGTCCCGACATCACTGAGGCAGCAGCCAAGAGACATGGGCTTGCCTTGGGCGCTTTCTTCGTAGCATCTCCTTCTGTGGGGCGGGGAGGTTTCTTTGCCGCGGAACATCTGATGGGCTCGGTGAATTGATACCAAACCGATGCCTCCAGCTCTACAGTGGCTAACCTTTCATGTACATGGAAGAAAACACGCCCTGGAGGGCACTGGTAACATGGCTTGCGTGGCTTCTGAGAAGTACATCTGCGGCTAGGGAGGGAGACGGAGCATACATAACACGCCGTGCAACTAACAAGGGAACTCTCTCGTGGAGACCTATCTGCGCACCCTAAGAGGCCTATTTATGGCTTTCATGAGTAAGGGCGGCCACGATTGGGCGTCATCCTTCCAAATGTGCTTTAGCCTGCAACTTTACTCTGCATATGATGACGGGGTATTCCCGTGTCTTCTTGGCGCACGGTTGCTCGATACTTCTGTTTGCAGAGCAGTGCCAAGATAAGCAGTGCTAAGCTGATATATTTTGATTGTGGGCATTGCGAATCTGCGACTTGAAGGTATGCTTCTACTAGTCGCAGGTTAACGTAACTGCTGGCAGAAGGATGCTTTTAAATGATGCCTACACTGGCTTCAACGGGATGACCCGCGTTTTGATCGAATTAAAAGGACACGGCAAGCTGTGTAACAGCCGGATCCTTGTTACATGCAACCCTCAACTGCAGTCGACAGGTTGTGTCAATAGGTTCACTTATCAAGTCCCGGGATCTAGCGTCACAAAGAATGAACAGATATTTTACGAGTAGTCCAAATAATTACAGTCCCCAAAACTGGAGCTACGCGTTTGAGTCATGCTTAGGTTGATTATCAGCTGCTATGGGCAACCTTATGAATCCTAGGAGCTCACAAGTCCTTGGGGCGCAGGAGGTGTGAGTCCAGGAACTACTAGCCTGCGCCATTCTACTAAACTGCCTACGTTCTCTAAGAATTCAACAAAATAAAGGATTAGGAGGCCAATAAAGTCTTCATCGAGTGACAGTCTGGCATGCACAGGCAGCAGAGGATGGAGAAAGGCTTCAGATCTACTGCGTATCTGCCTATCGCTGGTTTTGAGCAGAGGCTGAATGATGAAATACATAGAGACTGCCACTTGTTTTCGTCATGTCAGGGCCCAGCACCCTAACGTAGTGAAGTGTTGCATATATGCCGGTCATGGGCTTGAGCAGAGTTTGAAGCCAATGAGTAAGCTGTCATGGCGAAACACCTCCATAGTGGATGGAACGCCAGTGTCTAGACTTCTTCGAGGCTAGAACCGATACACCAGGACCTGCAGAGGAAATTATGAAATTGAGCATCAGCAATGCATCACAAAAAATTTCCCGTCTAATCGGGGGGTGTTTGCAACGCAAGAGATCAAAGAAATTTACACTTGTCGCGGTACCTCTTGGACCTAAATTAGTACCTACTGCAGGACAATGATGGTGTTGTCCTTAAGACAGGTCTAGCGAGAACGTTGGAGATCGCTGTGGTTGTCACTTCAACTGCAATAAGTGCCCAACTTCAGTTCAGAAGGGCTCTTGTAGCTGTTGTAGCATGCCCATTTGGTGAGCGTTGATGCTCTCGAAACAGCAGAGCAACTAAGTCTGCCGAGTTTATCCCGTCAAGTTTGTACATTTCCCGATTGTCCTTTTCTTTCGGATCAGTCGTGATCGTGATGTAAATCCTAGCAGGCTACACTTCTGAGCGAACTGTCTCCAACTTTAGGGTTACACCAGGCCTTTGACTATAGCCTTGGCATAACATCTCCTCGCCCATATACTGCATATGAAATCGTTTGAGACCACGCTCTCCTAGAGAGGCACGCTAGTGAGCGGTCAGACAGGCAACTAGTGCTTCAGGGCTTATTTGTCCTAGCTTGGCGTGAGTAACATTCACTCTTAATTACATGCGACAAGACAATAATAAGAACGAAATTATTACCCTTAACGTAAGAAGATGCCTTTATGCTTTCCCTCAGCAGCACATATTGAGATGCCCCTTGCAGACAGCGCTCGTTTCTGACAATGTTGCACCCTCACTAAAGTTAATTGTGATCTCAACGCCGCTTTAGAAATTGAATACAATGTAGCATCATCGCTTCATTCACCAACGGATGCAGTGGGGCGTTATGCTATTGTTTCACTACACAGCCAAGTGACAGCACCACTTCAAGGCAGAACTTCCTATTGTCGTATGTCAGGTGTTATCAAGCATATCGACACGAAATATGGATATTGACTGGTCAAAGAAATCAAGCAGGCCTGGTCGCTTTCAACGGGAGGTCAACTCCTGAGCAACCAGTCCTGCTACCCAGCCCCCATCGATATTGCCACCGCGACACTGGCAGCTCTACAGCAGACAACTCTTCGTCTCTATAACCAACGCGCTACTTTTTTGTTTTCAACTTCGTATCATTAAACTTTCTTGTGTATCCCCGAGCCCACTGCAGTACGATGCAGGCCTACCGCGACTGAGATATTCAGTTGCCTTCGCCTCAGAAATAGCTAAGCAGAGGTGCTATGAGCGGGCAGCCAAAAATCCGAACTGACTGTTGTATGTGCTGCTGTGCAAGACAACATGAACGGCGTGGAAGGGCGCATCGATGGATGCACAGGCGTTGCTGGTCTCGTTAATACTCAGCAAATTTCTTCTGTTCTTAACCAAGCGGCAAATCTCCCAAGGTTAAACTCATTTCTTGGGAAGTTGGGCTGCTTTGAGAGCCCCAGGGCTCTAAGAGCCCCTGACGCTGCCACGCTGAGTCGGGAATAGGGCGTTCCCACCAGTGGTGGTTGCCGACATCAAAGCATCAATGGAGGAATCGTCGCCTTTGATGCAACCTTGCCCGGCATGTACAAGACATGCGCAACAGCAGTATGAGAATTCCCAAAATCAACGGCTCATGCAATGGCGCTTTACGCCACTCCGCTTCAAACTCCTCCTGGTGCTGTTGGTGCTGGCAAAACCGTGGAGAGTTTCTGCTGCGTGCCTGTTGCTGAGATTTCCACTAGTAGAGGAAACGCCTCGTGGAGCACAGTCCGCTACTAATATAGCATGGCCTCAGTTTGGAGTCCAACGCTGTGGTAAACCCCACACCAACGTATCGGGGGTGCTCGCCGGATTCCTGAACTTGAAACGGATTGCAGAGGCCCCTGGCTGGCCCCCTTTCCGTGGAGGCACCAGAAGTGTTCTTGAGCCAAGGGGTAACCGGACTTACATCGGGAACAGACAAAATCATGGCGGTTCTGTTAGCACCAATATCCGCTGCAGCAACCGCAACAGCAGTTCACATGCATTTTCCTCCACAGTGTTGCTGCCCCGCTCGTCATTACGTCTCCGTGGAGCACTGTGGAGATCTGAGATAGCAGTGCAGCGCCTATGGCGCCGCCATGATACTTACAAGCAGTTACTGTTGCAGATTTGGTGCATCAATAAATGTGCACAGCAGCATGCAGGCACCAACAGCCAAGTTGACGAAAACAGGAATGGACGTGGTATTTCAGATGAACTGCTCGACGTGCTCGGATTTGCGGTCACATCACCCTGTGGTGGCGCTAGTAACATGCTACTGCTCGATGGCCCTCCCTACGCCAATGGGGAGCCACACATGGGCCATGCAGTGAATAAATGCCTGAAAGACTTTGCTGTGCGAGCGGCGCTACTGCAGCGCCGTTGTTGTCACATGCTACCAGGCTGGGATTGCCATGGGCTGCCCATTGAACTCAGAGTTGCGGCAACAGCTACCGCTGCTGCACAGCGAGACGCAGCCGCATCAGCAGCAGACAATACAAACGCCCTAGAGACTTGCGAACGAAGACCGAATCATAACCTCGAAATTAGCAGTGCTGACGACGACACTAACAGTATCAAGAGCAGCACCGACTGCAGCACGAACCAAAAGCGGAAGAGTATATCTACGGAGTTGCGCAGCAAGGCTCGGCAGGTTGCTCTAAAATTCTCTTCGTTACAGCAGAAGGCGTTTGAGCGGTCTGTCTCATGTGTGCGTCTACTGCTGCAGCTTGTGGTTCCCTGAGAACAGCCAGCAATGCCAACCGCTTGCCGCTTGCGTTGCGTCTATTTTCCTTCTTTCTTGGTGCCTGTTCGACCTCAGCTCCTCCAAAAATGCGTTGTGCCCTTGACCTCCTGGATATTGTCCTGATATGTCTTCTCAGCCTGCGAGCGTCGCGCATGCGTTCTCCCAACATACGCTGCATTATTGAGGCTTATGTTTGCACCTTTGCGTAATTCTGACCTCACAAGAGCTTCCGTAGCTGCCTGCGTGATGTGGGATCAGTTAGGGATTGCCAAACCAAGAAGGCAAACTGTCGAGCGCTATTGCAGCTGGTCTGTCAGATTACTGGCATGCGCGTTTTTGATGGCGCATTTGTGCTTCTTGTCAGTCTGTGGTTAATTTATGACGTATTTGCTGTGTCTGACTACATGAATGGTTGATTCTTCGTCTGCGCAGCGGCAGCCGTCTTTACCTATTTGTTCTGCATCTGTGTAGCTTCGGCGTGTGGGCGCACTGGGATGGAGCCTACAAAACGATGGACAGTAGTTTCAAGCTGGACGAACTGAAGCTTTTCGCGCTTCTGTGGAACAACGTAAGTCTAGGTAGCGCAAACACAAAACGGAGACAAGAGTACAAGTGCACTTAGCATACCGCACACGGAAACCGCCACGAGCACAGCAGACAGCTGCTATACGCACAAGCTGGCACAGGCCACGCTGGAGAATGAGCCTAGGAAGCGGCTGCCTCGCGTTCGCTGAATTGTGTAGCTGCCCATCTGTACTTCACTGCCTGTATATAGGGTCTGGTTTCTCTTTCTCGCTTTCCAGTGTACTGGAGTCCTGCAAGTCTAAGTTCCGTCTCAGAGAGCGAGGTTACGCTGAGGCCTACAGCGAGAGACTGCCTGTACTTCAAGCTGCTGCTTAAGAAGCCCATTTCAGCTTCGGAAGGCGGCAAGCCCTTTCCCACCCACAAGACAACTCCGTGGTTTTTAGTGTCCTGGACAACTACGCCCTTTACGATTCCCGCGAACAGGGCCCTTGCTGTTTCCGCTTCCACGCGGTATGCGGTGCTGAGGGCTTCCCGAGAACTGCCCCAGTATGAGGAGGAGGTTTGGCTAGTAGGCGAAATGTGCATGCCCTCTTTTTTGACAGCTTTAAAGAATGCAGATTTTTCGTGGCGGATACAGCAGATTGGCACGGTGTCGGGGCAGCTGCTGGAAGATTCAAGGTATGTTTAACTTCTTAACTGAGGGCGTATCGGGCCTGCGCTTCGGTCGGTATATGTTTGTTTTACTCCCTTTGCCGCTGTTTCGTCAACGTTTGCCGCTGCTGTAGCAAACTCATACGAACTTGAAGACTTTGTGAACTTTGTCTTTTTACGTTTTCTCCACCCCCTGCTTCTGCCTTTTGATCCTGCCTTGCAGTCACCTGGTGTTTGTTTTCTGTATTCCAGGTATGTCCATCCAGTGTCAAGCAAAGTAAGCTGCCCCGTCTTGCTGGATCCTGTGGTCGAAAGTGACAAGGGCACTTCAGTTCTCCATGTGGCACCAGCGCATTCACAGGAAGACTACCGTCTCTGTGAGTGAGGGCCCAGCTTTAATTACTTTGTTCGTACGAACTCCTCTTCTAGCGACCAACGGATTTTTGATGCAGCTGAGCCTTGTTCAACACAGCTTGGCAACGCATCTATCTGGAGAGGGGGCTTCAGGTGGCAGAATTTTTCTTGACAGCGATGCAGACCCACCATATGCCCGCACAGCTCAAGCCATAACACGTCTTGTACTGATATTTTTGGTACTTCTTTCAGGCCAGAGGGCCAGCCGGAGCAAGGGTCTCCTAGTCCAACGGTCGGACGATCCCTCAGTCCTTGTGCATGTGCCCCTGATTCCGGACTTGAAGGAAGAAGCAGCAGCAACTGCCGCAGGTGCCCCATTGCTATGTCCTGTGGGGCCAAATGGCACTTTTTTAGGAGGCAGTGGCAGCATGCCTTTTGAGGGCCTCGGAGCTCTGAAAGGTGGGGAGGAGAGCATTATTGACTTTCTGCGCAGAAGTGGTTCACTGCTACTCACTGTGAGTGTCCCAAGAGGGAAGATGGTAAAGGCATCTAATGCGTTGTGCAAAGGCCGATGAAGTGCAATCTGGATGCCTTTTGAGTTTTTCACTGGAGTTGCGAATAATCCACATACTCAGTTGCTGCTGCAGTAAGCCCAGCACGTCCGTATGATCTAGCTCTTCGTTGCATGTTATTGTCCGCATTTGCAGCACAAAGCTGTTTTACCGTATCCTTACGATGAACGGTCTGAGTGTCCTTTGCTCATGCGCGCCACTCCCCAGCTACATTTCAGTGTGCAAGGTCTTGTCCCGGAGATCTTGAGGGACGTGGAACGCATCAGATGGCTCCCGAACCGGCGCATTCAGAAGATGCAGCAATGCCAATGCACTGCCGCGGCAAAAGGGGAACTGCATGCTCAGGATGAACAGCGGGAGGCAGCAACCGTAGCGACGTTGGAACTTGAGTCTGAAGCGTCTCCGGGATATGGGCGCATTCGCGCTGCATTACGCACGAGGCCTCCAACGTGGTGCCTCTCTCGGCAACGGCAGTGGGGGCTTCCGATCCCTCTCGTGGCAGAGCGCGTAGAAGGGCCCAGCTGCACTAGAAGCCAAGAGACTAGAAGTGCAGAAGAAGCGGGATGGACAAGTTTACGGCTTGATAATGACTTCAAATTGTACGCTGAGGCATTTCGAACATCAGGGGACAAGACTGATGACCTTCTAACGATGTCAGTTGAGCCATACCCCATGCAAATAGAAGGCAGAGACGACAGAAGCAGCGGAAGCAGCTGAAGTGGTAGTATTTCCAGTGAATCTCAGTTGCGTTGTGTGCCCACTTCGGACTCTTTCAGGTTGAAGAGGAGGGGTTGGTGTGGGATGGTTTTTGATGTTTGGTTTGATGCCGCCTCTGCCTGGATCACAGGTCACAAGTTCCTGCAGCAGTGGACACAAGATGCCAACTGCCTTTTACATAAATACTTCCCTCAGATTCAGGGGGGGCAACAGCAGCAGAAACAGCGGCACCAAGAGCAGAACGAGGACGCGCATCAACAACAGGACCCAGAACAGCTTCAAGAGCAACAGGCGCAACAATGGAATGGAAAAGAAAGATATTCTTGCCTGGTGGTAGAAGGGTCTGACCAGAGTAGAGGATGGTTCCAGAGCCTCTTGCTGTCCCATGCAGGTGCTCGGGAAGCTCTGCGTCGTCAGCGGCGGCAAAGAGGCGTTCCAAGCGTTGTGCAGCTCGGGGATTGTTGGAGCAATCATTCCACGGCAATTCAGACGCAAGATATTAGTGGGGTGACTGGATATGAATTGGTAATGGCAGATGACGACGAACCAAGAGCAGGAGAGTCACTAGAGGATGGAAAGTTGCCTGAGTATCCATTTAGCGTCGTGGTGACTCATGGGTTTGTCGTCGATTCAAGCGTAAGCATATTCGGGGTAATGTTGTTACCTTCTGTGCCACATTTGTAATGACTGCGCGGATTCACTCTAGTTGCGGGCCGTTGCTTCTTGCTGACGTTTTCAGGGCAATAAACTGAGCAAGTCAAAGGGTAATGGGATATCGCCAGCAATATTTTTCGCTGCTGAAAAGGAGGCATCAGGGGCGACAATACAGTCAAGTACATCCAAGGTATCATCCTCAGTGAAGCTCCAACAACAAGAGCAACGCCGGTCACAGGAGAATCGGAGGAATCGCCGGTTGACTTACGGCGCGGACGTGCTACGTTTGTTTGTTGGAGCGCTTGATTTTGGGGGAGACATGGCTTGTCCTTCAGGAAACGGGAAGGAAAGCATAGTGCATACAGCCAGTGCTACTTACATTAAGCTAAGAAACGCGTTCAAGTACCTCATTGGTTCCCTTGAGAATTTTGACATCATTGCCGTGAGATGCTTAGTACATTTGCCGCTGCAGTACCACCATAAGTAGATGCGGCTATACCAGTAGTAGCACTTGCAGGAGTGATGACAGCTCGAAGTGGGGGAAGGTCAGTCTTTGTGCTGGATATGCGATGCCTGGATGACAGAGCCTCGGAATTGTACAACAGAAGTTTCACAGCCTTGCATTATAAGTAGCATTATCGGAAGCCTGATGTGTGAGATCTCACTGCAGCAAGCTGTCCCTTTAAGAGAGCTGCCTCTTCTTGACATAGGGATGCTACTGAGGCTCAAAAGACTGGCTGACGATGTTGGGAAGGCGTACGAAATGTTCCAATACAACAAGGTAGTTTCAACAATGCCTTCGCATCTGCTCTCTAGGCTGCCGCAGAATTTGGTTCGGGACCTCCTAAGTCATTGCCTGCAAGAGGAATCGACCCCTTGGCTAGAGTTCAAAGGGATACATTCTGCCGGCGATAGGCCTGTTATAGCAGCTACTGCTAAATATTATGGCTTTTCGTTGCGCTGCTGTGCAGGCCTTGCACTTATTACTTCGCTTTGTTTCTGAAGACCTCTCAGCCACTTACATTGAAATAGCGAAGGATAGACTGTACCTTGACCACAGCGGAGGGTACCGCAGGCGTAGCTGCCAGGTCAGTTTTTTGTGCCCTCAAGTGTTGTCGTGTGGTTGTTGCGGCCATTTCTTGGGATTATTACTAAGGAAGTTAAGTGTCTCCGAACGTTTGGTTACGCCCGCGCTCAGTTCTTGCTGTGTTCAGACAGTTCTGGCTATGTTACTTCTAGTGCTAACACAGCTGTTGGCCCCTCTGACCCCGCATTTGGCGGAGGAAGTCTTTTTTAGAATGCCGAAGGCGCTTAAAAGGGCGGTTGTTGCGCATCGGAGTCGCAAGATCCGTGAGGTGCTCGGCCGCGCAGGCAGAGGCCTGGCAGATGTTCTCGGTCTCAGCAATTCACTTTCTTCTGTTTTCCAAGTGCGCCTTATTACGCCCTAACCGTGCCTTTCCATATGCAGGTGTCTTACAAGTTCCATTTTTCATTTTTTTACTGCTGCTAGCTTTGCCGCTGAGCAGTCTGTGGGGTTTCATCCTCTCGTAATGTAGGACTGTGCAGCATACATTCAGCGTGCGTGCCTCCAACTGCGCTTACTGCAGTTGGGTTGGCCGCGAATGCATGTCCCAGTGGATTCTCGCACTGCGGATAAGGCCAACCAGTTATGGAGTTTGTTGCTGCTTGTACGTCAAGATCTGCACTGGTTGTTCACGCGGGCACGGCAACAGCAGAAGGCCAGCTCCGTGGGGGCACCACGATTAGGCTCCCTCAACGAACTGAAGCTTAGTATCATTGTGCCGGTAAGAGTGTCATGTCAGAGATTTGTAACCATGAGGTCGTTTTGTAGACCCTTGACACAATACTTAAAACGCAGGGATTTGCCTGCTTCTTAACGCTTGAAGGGTACGCTCAGTGAGTGAAGAGTGACGAGTACACACGTTCGACAACGCCTTGCGTTTAATCGTGGATGCAGACGCAAGCGGTTTACACGCAGCTTAAGCAACTGCTGCCACAAAGCAAGCTTTTGAGGGCGTCTCCTTTGTATGAGCCGTCAACGAGTACGAAGGAGCAACGGCAAGAAGTAGCTGAGCGTCGCTTGCATGTTGACGATCTCCGATGGCTACTGCAGTGCTCCGATATGGAAATTGAAATTTCTCCGGCTGCAGTGGGACAGCAAACAAACGAGGGACTGGATCACAAAAATATGCTAGCTTCACTGGGAGCAGATGTATCAAAGTCGGGTCTGAAGTTTAGGGTCTACAGAGCGGAAGGGCAAAAATGCCAAAGGTGAGAAACGTCGCTGGCTGCTGCAAGCCTCCATTAAAATGTCTTGATCTGACCGTTCGACGTCAGGGAAAGGGCGATAAGATTTGCCACTTTATGCAAGTCCCTCACCTGTTGATCCTCGTTCATACACAAATGTGAACCGGCATCCTCAGGCATTCAAGCAGGAGCTGCGAACAGCCTGTTCGCTTGCTTGATACTCAAGTGAAAACCGTTTTGGAATACTGGGGTGTTATCAAATTCTGTGCTTTTGGCATGCCCTTAGATGCTGGATGAGAGATTTTACATCACTCCATGGACCGTCAGAGATTCCAGGCAACGTAAGTGCAGTTCAGCAAGCGGGAACAGAAAAAGAAGCAGTTCAAGCTGACACTGCACCTCAGATTTCTCCATTCGCCTGCGAGAGATGCACGGACGTCATGAGACGAGCCAACAACAAAACGTAAAGGCAGGGCTCTTGGCCTGTACATCGAATGTACGAGGCTTGTTAGAATGCTGAAGGCGCTACAAGAAGCTTTGTGTATATACCGCAGTCGCAGGATCTGTTTGTGGGCACCGCAGACAAAGGCCAGGCAGATGGTGTTGGCCTGCGATTCATTTACACTTAGGCCACTGTTGGCGGCGCCTCTGACTTTAATGTGCTCTTCATTGAGTTACTTTCCAACGAGCTGTGCGCGTGCCTTGTTCTGAGGGCGGCCAGATGCAGAGATCAGACAATAATGTGTAGGCATATTGTACAGCTTGCGTCCATACTTGGCTTCCCTCGCTTTTTGCCCACTGACTTTTAAAATTCTCTGCTCACTTTCATCGGTAGAGAGGTGTTTGGTGCACTGTGGAGGGGCTTTGCCCCTATGTAAAGAGGCGAGGGAGCCTTCTGTCACCTGACTGTCATACAGCTTTACGGGATTTTGAAAAGATTTTCTATATGAGTCCTTAATGCTCTGGAGGTGCCGCCCTCGCCAGGTTGCCCCACTTGTTATGCACCTTGCAAGTGGCTTGTGAGGGCTGTGGCAGGACGTAAGTTGAGCTTTTTAAGTGAAGGGATGTTTATGTTGGTGGAACGTGTGAATAAAGCCGGCTATATCCTTAGAGCCTGTCGTAGCTGCGGGGAGCGAAGTCCACATGTAGCGGGACACAAGGTAGCCAGCTCTTTGCTTTGGCTTTAGCTATTAATGAGGCGTCCCTAATTTCTTATATGAAATATAAGCTGTTAATGAAGCGATGTTGGTGGAACGTGTGAATAAAGCCGGCTATATCCTTAGAGCCTGTCGTAGCTGCGGGGAGCGAAGTCCACATGTAGCGGGACACAAAGTAGCCAGCTCTTTGCTTTGGCTTTAGCTATTAATGAGGCGTCCCTAATTTCTTATATGAAACATAAGCTGTTAATGAAGCGGCCACAACTTCTGGTATTCAATGTAAGCTGTTAATCAAGGGGTACAAGGGATACAACAGTAGGCCCTCACCCTCCCCTGCCGATTTGTTGGGGCGTTGGTGGTGAGCCCCTCTCCAGAGCATAGCCATAGTTTTTAAAAAGCTCCGAAGGACAGCTTTGCAGGAGAAGAGTTAAAAAGACACGGATGAACGAGAACGCTGACGGTGAGGGGTGATGTCTGCCGCTGGAGGTTACCTCGCACAGGGGTGGCAATGGAACGTCGCTTGAAAACACAGAAGTACATTCACGTCGTCTTTTTTGTAGTGTTTGGCCTTTTTCAGGCTTCCATACTAACTTAGGAGTGACGCCTTACCTCTCGATGTGCCTCGTCACCTTGGGACCTTACGTATACTCTGTCCCATTGTTCTTCGTATCTTGAGGGCTGGATCCTGTACCTTTTTGCATTTTTGCGATGTTTCTTGGTTATATCGGAAGACTGAGAGCGCCTTGACTTTTGAAGCCGTGGCTTGTCGCATTGCCGTTCATGAGACGATGGTCTGCCGCCTCTTTTTAGGGGCAGTTGCCCTTTCAGTGTGTATCTGCACTCTACGGGCATCCGATGCCCCACAAAGCAACACTTCTACACATATGAAGGTTGAAGAGATATGGGGCCATGTTTTCTGCGACCCCATGTTAATGCCAAGCCTTACGATAGCCCTTAACGGGACTACCCTTGGAAATACAACTTTGCTGCCAGCATTCCACAAAAGCCCTTCGTTTGGAAGAAGCACTGCTGTGGGCAGCTATACGGCGGGGTCGCCATCACTTGAATTCAGGCTGCCGCCTCTGCTCCCTGGCTCTTATCTTCTTGAGGTGCTACACCCCAGCCTGATCTTCCCAAAGTACAGGGTTGTTACAACGAGCAGCAGCAACGAAGTGTACCTGCTGAATGAGTACGTCATGCCTACCAGTTTGTCCTCACTGCCGGTGCCTGTCACTGTGGCGCCCACAGGCGTCCCGCGATACTTCCCCGCACAGGGCGGCTTCAGCATATTGGACTTGCTGCGACAGCCCCTCGTCATCCTTGTACTTGTGTCTCTCGGCATAATGTACTTCCTCCGCAAAATGCAAGAGGCGCAGACAGAGGCGGAGAGTCAGCAGCAGGAGCTGGAGTCGCCCGAGCAGCAGGCCGTGGAATCCTTGCACCAAGAAGCCCCAGAGTCTGCCTTTGTCGCGAAGCTGATACGACAAGGTGGGCACTAAAGAGACATTGTACGCATCTCGCCGTGTATGGTAACAATTGAATTTATACTAGGCGAATGCGCAGACCTGACTTTTGTCATATTCCATACTGAAAGATTGCCTAACTCTAGGCTGAGGCGTGGCCTTCCCAGAGCGCAGCAATCACCGACGTGCCCCAACGTGACGTGAGCTGATTCACGCTTTGCGACCGGCGCTCGGTATGGTCGCTCTACGTAGCGAAGATCTCGTGACTACTTCTGTCTTCTAAAGGAAGGGTAGCAGCATGCATTTACGTAGTAAGGACCCCATGACGAGGTCTCTCCGCCACAGGGTAGCTAGCAGCAAGCATCTGAGTAGCAAGCTTCCCGTGACGAGGTCTGTCTCCCAAGGGGAGCTAGCAGCACGCAGCATGGCCAGCACTCCAAGCTCCATGAGAACCGTCATTAGGAGGAGCTACAGCAACTGGCCACAAACCGTGTGGCAAGCCCCGTTGCACATTACCCCGAACGAAGCTATCCGCGCTATCGCAGTGCCGGCTACTTGCAAAACAAGACAAGCCCAGTCCACAGCTCGTAGAAACCAACGTCCAAGAAGAGCCATCGGCTCGCCACAAAGCTGTTTATGCATGCCCTGCGGGCCCGTTGACACCGGCGTGCCGCCGGCGGCACATAATTGAGATATTCCTGTTGCGACTATACACTAGTTTCACTGTATGCCGTGTGTCCTGATTGTGTTTTTGGCGCCTCCACCATCGCTGGACTTCGGCTTGCGGCACCAAAAAATTAGAAAGCGGTAGAACCTGAACCCTTCCGCCCCCCACTAGCTGTTGTTCCCCCTGCCCATCCACCTAGAGAACCAAGAAGCATCCTCTGCATGGCCGTTGTTACTGCCGCTGGTTGCTTGGCGCTGCCCCGTAACTGCTGCTGGTCTTGTGGGCAGCAGTTGCTGCTGCTGTTCCGACTGCCGCTGGTGCTGCAACGTTGCGTGCCGCACGGGCCTCAGCGCCCCACTGGGGGCTACTGCAACCAGCCGCCCGCCTGGGAGTTGCATGCAATGCCGCTGCTGTTCAATGTAGTCCAGTTGGGGAGCATACTGCTCAGTATAGCCAAAGCTCCTCGTGGCTCCGGGCGCAGGTAGCCCTTGCACTGGAGAGATGACATGTGCACGGCCTGCAGGCCCTTGGCTGTAACGTGCTATCGGCGTCGAGGTAGTTCGTTGTCTCAGGTGAAGCTGCTCCTGCCAAATTCGCTGTCTCGCATCATACCTGGCGACGTGGCCAGGGAGGCTATCACTCCAAACGCCTCCTGCAGGGCCTGCCGTATGTTGTAGGTTGCCACCAGATGGCCGCCTACACGTGACCATGCACACGCTAGTGGGTGGGCACGGGACCCTCGAAACAGGCCCGTTGTAGATTCGGCTAGCTGTAGCGTATGCTCGTGAGTTGGCGCCAAAGTCCTCTGCTGCCGCCGACGCGCACGCTGGTGCTGCAGTTGGTGGTAAACGCTTTTCTGTGGCTCTCAAAGGCATATCTGGGTGTTGGACTGGCTCCGTTGCAGCGGCCACCAGTGGGGAACTACGCTGGCTCTTAACGAGTCGGGCCGTCCATCCTTCCTGTTCCTTCCTCGCTTCATTCCAGATCTCATCTACAACCCTCGTGGTCTGGGGTAGCAGCTGCTGCAGCCGTTGTCTCTTGATTGCTGCAAGGATAAGTTCCTGCTCAGCTGCGATCCCCGCCAACTCTTGTGCACTTACTTGCAGGCACTCCGCTAGGGTCTCTTCTTCGAGGCCCGTAGCGTCCCTAGCGGGTGTTGAAAAACTTGGCACACACTCGCCGTTCGCACCCGAACTGGTGGAGGAAGTTCCAGTGGCAAGGGATAGGACTAATCTTGCTAGGCCCTCAGCCTCGAGCTGGCCTATCATAAGTCCACGGGCAATAGGAAAGCCCTCTTTCACAAAGTGGAGCTGCGAGCAAGCCACGTCCGCCGCACACATGCTCTTCAGCGATTGCTACCACGAAGAAAGAAAATTCTACAATCTTCACTGGACACTACGGTGCAGCACTAACCACATCACGTTCGCCTGCAAAGACGTGGTCGCATCGCTACTTCGATGCTCCACAGCAGGTTGTCACCTGCATTCTCGTTCGGCCCCACAAAGCGAATCGGATGCCTTTCTACTATATTCACATCGCTGCCAAAGAAATGCATTTCTAGCAGGCTTACTGAAGTGTAGTGGCCGAGCTTCCCGTGCCACATGAGTCGGAAGGGAGTAAGGGACTCCCCTTCCCTGTTGGGTAGCCGCTTTTTTTCTGGATCAGGCTCAAATGCCTGTAACAACTGTAGATGCTCGTCGAAAACGAAGATGGGGGTTCCGAACAGTAAGAGTAGCGCATGCATCTCCCTGTAGTCAGCCCACTCTGCGTGCGTACCACAACGACCACAACGACCCGCCAAAAAAATAATGGACGTCATGGAAGAAAGGCAGTACTCCGAGGGCTGTACGCTGAAGCTCCAGTCAACTTAGGTGCGGGTCCTGCACAATGCAGCCGTCACATTCTCCCTACTGGGAACCAAAAATGCTGCTCGCGTCATCGCGTCAATCACGTATGTATACAGTAGGTTAACTCGAAAGCCTCCATGAATAGCCAATGCATGTGGCATGTGCTCTAGTTCTGTTCCTTTCTGATGCGGGCACTCGCGTCAGTGTTCGCAAGCTTCCAAATTATTCTCTGTTGACAAAGCTTAAGGGGTCCTGCAAGCCTGCTCCTCTGGAAAAGAAAAAATTGAGCTGTTCTATAGAGACTGTTACAGCTCGAGACTTGCGTCAGTGGCTAGCACCTCCGTATGTCCTTTTTGTTTGAAGCCATCGCTCAAACGGGCCTTCGCTTTCATCCACGAAGGCCTCAAAAGTGTCCTTGCACCTCAACTGCGCAAACAAGCAATCAAAGCAGTGGAAAGACACTTGTCACGTCACACCAGTCTATGCTGAAGAAGAACGTGGCACATTTGGGGGGGAAATTGCCTCACCATCACATCAACGGCAAGCCACCGTAAGAACAGGTGGTGATCCTGCGACCCGTAGAGCTGCAAATGATACAAAGCACAGGTTACAGTCTGTTGTTCGATGTGCTACGCTCACGTTCACGTGACGCCTCCGAAAATTCAACCCTGAAACATACGGGCTCCCACCCTTAGAGCCGAAACAAAAATTTACCTGATCAGAAAATGCCCGGTAAAGGCAATTGCCATCCCCTTCGCACTCGCGAGTCGACATGTAGGGGGCCATAGCTGCAATGGCGGAGTCCTGCGCCTTCTTCGTACTACTGATGTTGCTGTTACTCCTGCTCGTCTGGACTCTGCCGCTGCCCTGGCTGTCAGGTGGGTATTCCCTCGCCTGCTGCTCGCTCTTCTGTGGTTCTGCATGCTGCTGCGGTTGCTCCTGTAGTTTATTTTGCTCCTGCTGCTCCTTAGAAGCTGCCAGCTTTGGGCCGTCCTCCGCAGGGGCCTCCGCTTCACTATGGGATATCTTGTCCCCGTTACTACAGGGGTAATGGAGCTGAAGCTTCTCTTTTCCCCCAGTGATGACGCTTCCTACGGCATCTTTCTGAACTTGGTCATCTGTAGTTCTGCACAAGCTCTGTGTAGTCCTTGAGTGCTGCTGCTGTTGCTCTGGAGGTCGCAGCTTCTCCGTTCCCTGCCCCTCTCGCTCTTCCAGGCTCGAGTGTTTCTGATGTTTTACTTGGTGAACGGCACTTCGTGGCTCGGCATCTTTCAGACATGTCTGGCTAGCCACAGGATCCACTGTAGAGCTTGAAGTATCATCCTCTATTCTGGGTTCGCCGCCTTCCCAAGAAGAGCACGTTGAAGAATTTGAACACCGCGCCAAAGGGCGCAAAGAGCTTGATTTGATTATCACGTCTTCTACCACTGGTGCAGCATGTGGGGTTGACGGTTCCACAACTGTGCAACAGAGAGTCCCCCTTTGGTTGCTCTGTATCGTCCAAACGCCTCTGTCTTGAGTATCTCTGCAGACATCATCTCCACTCTGGCCACTGGAGCAAACTGCATACTGTATTTCTGCTTTGGTTGGGACCTCTTGCTCCTCTTGTTCCCGCCCCTTGCCTGGCCCCTTGCCCGAACATTTTACATCTACGCCCTCACATGAATCTCCAGGGTCCTTCCAGGTCTCCGTGGATACTTCGACATCTTTGCGTTCAAGTGCAGTTGCTGTCTGAGACGGTTGAGGCGCAGCGGGTGCTCTGCACAGCACCCAGCCGCCGTCTGCAGTTTTAGTGCAGATCAAGACGTTGGTGCTCTTGCAGCAGTGGCAGCCAAACTGCAAGATCTGTGTACCGCCCGAATCAGCCCCTAATCGAAATCCTTCGTTCTCGCCCATAGGAAAGGGTGCGCCTTCGGCAACGTTAACTGAGACCACACCAGTGGGGGTGTCGGCACTCTGCTTCGTGTCAGCAGCAGCCATGGTGACTCCCTGCCGCTTCCCGCCACGACGAGCCTGATAACGGACTCTATCTTTTTCTGTACCTGCTGCCTGCTGCTGCTGGTGTGTGTTCTTCGAGTCAAGAGCCTCACCCTCGATTGTCCACTGGGAGCCTTGAGACCAGAAACGTTACGAGCGGATGCGGAAGTTGATCAGCGACTTGCACTCCTCCCTGCTAAGTTTTTCTGGGCTCAAGGGATCCCTCAAAGTGGGGCCCCTGCTCTGCTAGTTCCCGAAGCAGGTGCCAGTGACTAAACGCGGTGGTTGATAAGGGCAACGCCCTCCACTGCCTTTAGCAGCATTGCCTTGCGGCAATGCATCATTCTAATTGTCTTATTAATGCATTTGGGCTGTTGTCTTACGTGTGGCAGTTGGAAGAAACTAGCTGATTGACTACGTCGGTTCGGCGCACCCCACTGCGGTGCAGTCAAAGGCGCGGTGGTAAGTAATGGTGTAGGTAGCGGAGTGAATGCTGCTTCTTGCAATGCTGTCGCTTTCTTCCTGCTCAAAAACCCCCCACTGTTCTTACAATGACGGGAGTCTGGCCTTCAAAGAAGCTTCTGGAGGCAGAAGCTTTGGGGGGCGCCACGGGGGACCGTCGTCGAGTTGCTCTACGCAGATTGCACGCCATGGCGGCTCCCTCCTAGCCATTCTTTTCTCCAAGTCATACTTAAATTTTAGGGTCATTTCATCATTGGCAATGGGGGAAAATTAGAGTTTAGAGTAACACTATCTCTGCATTTCGACGTAAAAGCAACCGTAGCCAGCGAGCCACTGGTTGGTCCGTTGGGAGTCTGCACAGTGAGAGTCGAACGGTGTGCAGCAAACGTCCAATCCCACACCACCTTTCCACAGTAAGGCACAAAATGTAGAAATTCGGTGCGGCACGAATAGTCTTGGTCTGCCCTCGCGTGCTCGGAGAGGTGCTTGTGGCTTCTGCTCGTTACCGCGGTTTTATTTAATCGTCACAGTCTCCTCTATCTTAAGTAATAAGCATTGCCCCTTCTGGGCAGCGAAGCCAGAGTACAGTTTCGAACTGGAAGCATGCAAAAGGATGCGCCCTCGCGACGTCGTTATTGTGCCTTAATCAGAACGCACGCCTGAACCTCTGGTCCAAATTCTACAACAAAAGCAGAGATAGTTACTCTGCTGGGATAGCGACGTCGCAGAGAATTCTGTCTTGATTCTGGGTGACCTCTAACCAAAACCTTGCACGGACCTCTAGTTGCACTTCCTTGCAATTCCCCCACCACTAAGTAAGGCTCGCGGCAAGGAGTCACCTTCTCATCGCAAAATTGTACAAGCCCTTCCCCATTGTTTCTATGCTTCACCCCACAAGGGAAAGGTACCTGCCGGAGCAGAGTGCGTACCCGTTCCTGCTACACACCATTTGTCCTGTTCGCTTCCAGGCATCCTCTGAAGAATAAACTGACCTTTACTCGACAGGACCCTGGCCTTTACTCGACTGAACCCTGACTGAGCAGTCTGCTGCATTAACGCAACTTCTTCGCCTATCCTGCATCACGCTATATCGTACACTGGCTTCTCGAGTACTGTTCCACAAATGCGGCTATTCCCACGAATTTAAGGAAAGCTATTGGGTGAGTTGAAGAAAAACGCCACGCTAGGGCTCTCAAAAGACAGAAGCACTTCATGCGTTAAGGCCTTCGGTGCTGCCGAGTGGTGCTAGTCGCACTGTTTTGGGATTGATCCACCTCTTTGTTTCGTTAATTCCAGTCCGTCAGCCCACGACGGCAAAAAGAGAGCTCACACCCCTCCAGCACCAGAAAATATTTGCCTCACGGGAAAGGCAAATTACTTTTTAATGCGTCCAACCATTCACTCACTTTAGAGTAGATATAACAGACAAAAAAGTCCACGAAGATACATGCCAGAACAACATTGAATTCTACCCAGCAATAAAAGGCTCTTGGGTCCTTAATGTCTTCCCACTCGCAGACTATATTCTGAGGACCCACACCTCCGGTGCTCACAATGCAACACAAACACTGTTCCTTGCTCCCACGATGCCATACCGTTACTAAGAAAAAGTCCTCGTTAGCTGCACCTCAAAAAGTGAGAATGGTGTACCGTATTTTCTTGAATTCCCTTCTTTGAGAGTCAAGTTTCATTCAGGCTGCTCCCGGTCATTCATCTTCGAAACGGAGCCTACCTACAATCATGACTACGCACAATTGTTAGCAGAACCTCCCTTATTTGTTGCTTCGATTGTGTGGTGGCTGGCAGAAGCTTCTGCTGCCCATTACCGGCCCCTTGAAACAGAACAACCAATGACAGAACCAACTGCCCCATTGACCACCAGGAGGTAAACGTGGCCCTGTTGCCTTGCGCTTCACCAATGAGTGTTATCCAACCCTACCATGGCCTGCGCACGCTGCAAATAACGCCAATCTCTCTTTCATGTCCGCCAGGCACCAATAACACCCAAAATACGGCGCACAGAGAGAAGGCGGAAAGATGAAGGCGGAGGAAATGGGATAAATAAGGGAAAGGAGGCGCCCAACCCTAACATACACATGACGCTGTGCTCTCTTCTGGTTTGAACACCACACTTCGCAATATAGCTGTTCCCCAGTTGGACATTCCGTTGTCTTGTTCAAGAAGCTATGCGCCAGAGATGCTTGGTAAATGATTTGCCAACGGGAGGTCAAGGAGCTCGATGTTAGTAAATAATTCGTTCACAGATATGCAAGATCCGCACCTTTTCGAAACCCGCGGCGGCGACGTTTCCATTTAGGATGCCCACATCTCTGATTGTTCACCTGCACTGATGAGGCTCTCCTTTTCTACCTCAGCAGCATTGGATGTACCAGCTTCTGTCATCACTTCAGCACCTGCTTCAGTGGCAGCAGCCGCGCTCCCACCACTCCTGTAACAGCACACACCAGAATATTTGACGGCAACCACTCAATCAGGCGTCCTACCATTCGCATCAGCTTGAGAAGGTAGACCAGGAAGGCACAAGAAGGATCACACCAAAACAGCTGTTAACGGCTAAGAGGCCAGCTTCGGCTAAAAAAACTTACAATCCATAAAACGCTCCAGCTCCCGCAGCAATGGCGAGGACTCCCCCAGCCACGCCACCGGCTACAGCTGCAGTTGGAAATCCACTCGATTCCTCCTTTCCTTCCTCCTCTCCAGAGCCTCCAGTCCCTCCTCCTGCGCCCCCATCTCCTCCAGCACCCCCTCCAGCATTTTGGGAACAGTATTCCTCACAGCTTTGTACCTCGTGTGTGTCACCACTGCACATTCTGTCAGTGTAATCAAATGCTACTGCGGATTCCCTGGTTCTATGCCCGGAGCACGACTCGCATTCGGTCCACTCACTGAAGGGGAGCGTGCAAGGTCCTGTGCGCAGAAACCCCAGAACAAAATGTCGCCTGCTGAGCTTATACGGCCTATACAGCTTTCGCTCTAAAGTCTGAAGGTGAGCAAGAGACGCCTACTAACTGTCCAGAATTCGCCATGACTACGCGACAAAGCCAGAAACAGTTATTATTCGACTGAAAGCTTGTACAGGGGTACAACACCGAGTCGACAGTTCTTTGCCCTTCCAACTACACTAGCTCACCGCATGGAACTTCATTGCATCCTTCTTCCTGAACCACCTCAATCTTCTCGCCTTCAGGGAGCTCTGCGTTCTGTTGAGCAACTGTCTTGCCTCCGAACATGGCCTCTTGCTTGCTTGGGCCGCGATTACGAGTCCGCTTGCCGCCACCACACTGTTCGCTGCATTGCCCCCAGTCTTCCCAATCACCAACTACTTCGTCCACAGGGCACGGCTGGGTGTTGCACTCCCTGACCGATATGGGCCCATCAGGATACTGTTCCATGCAGGTGCGCCCCCCGTGTTGCGCATTATCCAACCACGGCTCCCTCTTCCTCTCTTGGGTACCGCCTCCGCAAGTTCTGGAGCACGCACTGTACTCTGTCCATTCTCCGCACGTTGCGTCGATAGGGCACGGGTTCTCGCTGCACGAAGCAGTTTCCCTCACAGCAATGCCTTGTTGTTCCAAAGTCTGTCCCCCGTACAGTTCCCCTTCCTGTGGCAAACCCTCTCGCTCGCGATGCTTAGTACCTCCTCCGCAGGTTGCTGAGCACTCTGTCCATTCACTCCAGGGTCCCGGTTGTTGCTGAACTGGGCACGGCGATTTCTGCACCGTTTCAACCTCGAATTCATGTTTAGGCGGATTTTGTTCCATGCAAGAAAGCCCACCACCGGCTGCAGGTGGACTGTTGTAGCCTTCCCTCTGCCTTTTCCTCGTCGCCGTTCCGCACGTAGTGCTCCACTCAGACCATGCGCCAAACTCCCCGCAATGAGCATCCGTTTTGCACACTGGCATCGTGCACGGCTGCGTCCGAGTAAGTCCGGGAGGCTGCTCGGCACAAGACCTGCCCCTCGGTGCCTCACATGTCGGGCAAGGAGGTGACCCCGGCTTCTGCGGAGATATCTCGACTCGAGTGCTCGTCTGCACGCCTTCTTTGCCACATTCCCCCACACAAGGTCCATATTCGCTCCATTCGCTACACACCGCATCCTTTGCCAGATCTTTGCATGCAGCCTTGATGATACCATTGACCTGCTGCGTGACGTTTGACCAGTTTGACTGCAAGTACCTGGGGCAATTTGAAGTCGAACAGCCAGCAATACTCCTGCACTCACTCGAATTGACTCCTGAGCCGACTCCCAAGACAACTACGATGGCTCCTGCATCACGCAGGGCTGCAGCAGAAGATCTCGTTTGAGACGGGAGATTGCTTGCGCCGTCAGTCATGACCAAAACCAACTTGGGTACGTTATTTCTAGCTCCAGCATTGGTGTCGTAGAGCAGCTTCTTCGCATCTTGAAGACCGTAATGCGTGTAGGTGACGCCTGTTGAATAGCTTAGAGATCTAGCTGCTGATATAGCCAAGGAAGGATTTGTAGCCTTCGGATCACTCAGGTTCCACCGAACTTTGGAACGGGTTGCAAAAGTGATTAACCCAACACGAACGTCCTCTGGAGAAATCGGCATAGAATTCACGAAGTCTTCGATGAACTGCCGCACCTTCCTGAAGTTCGATGTGCCAATGGAGCCCGACTCATCAACTACCAACATGACATCCAAGAGGCTTGTGCACACCTGATCCTGGCCAGAGCTGGTAGTTGCGCCTGAATAACAAACATCGCAGGTTCGCATGAAGCCTGCTAAGTCAACGCCGTTACATAAGAAAGCCAGCAATGCAACCGGCAAGTGACACTGTACGACCTAGCCAACGCAAACCAACAAAGGGGCAATATCACTTCAAGCAGCGTACATCAACCCAGAGGTAATGTCCTTTCAAGCCTGTGGCGGGCAAAATTTCTGCCTAATCGAACTTCGTCACCCCAAGGGAAAGCCACAAGGGACAACGTGCGCTACCTTTACGGCAGGATCCGCGAGGCAAACGGATGCTGGCCATTGAAGCCCAAACCTCTCGACCCCTTACCAAATTAAAAACACCCAGGTGACACTGCTGACTAACTATGACCCTATCTTTGCAACTGCTAAGACTTCTGTGAGCAGCATTGATCAGGAAGCCACGGTCAAAGCACTGTTCGCCATGGCCAGAACCACTCTCAGTTGGAATAGCAGCAATGGGCACAAACTTTGCAACGGAGCCACTTGCCATTATAACCATGAATGACGAACCTGGCTGTAAAGAAGAAAAAGCAAAACTTGCGGCAAGCAGACCAACCAGCAATGATAATGCCCTGCAGGGCGCTAGCCTTCGCCGAGGAAGGGGCGCCATTGCGGGAATGATGCAAGAAAGCGGAACTGGGTAAAAAGATGAAGAATAGGAGATTAAGAAAATGACCTAACAAAACAATATGTTTTGAAACCTAACCAGAATTCTACTGTGAGACGATTGAAGTCGGATGGCTCGGCAAGGGTCCTGCTAGTGCGTACTCGCGGCTGGCCGCGCAATGACGTGGGTAGTTCCCGGGGATCTGCAAGGTCAGGCAGATCACGTATATTGTTATTGCTTTCTTCAGCTCTTATTAAGCGATTTCCTGTGGGTTTACTCACGACAGCATACAGACACGCTTCGACTCCCGCGTCTAGCGCATTGTCGATTATTTTTCCAGCTGAAGCCACGAGTGAACAGCTTCGCTCGCCTTCACACACGTATCGGGCTCTGATAGTGTAGAATATCCGTAGCTAGATATTGAGGAGTGTTATTCCAACTTGCTTTTTGCCATTAGACATGGAAAAGCAAAGTTTCCTCCAAGCATGGTTTAAAGTGACGGTCTCTGCGCTGTGTGCATATGTCGATTCGCACACAAGGAATAGTTATGTTTGCTTGCATTCAGATCCTTCGAGAGGCAAATTAGTTCTTGTTCGCACAATGCTTCAAAAGTTTGGTTGTAAGTTTGATTGCGAATGTTCATTATCTGGACTGGTTAGTATGAGGTGTATATGATGCAATCGACGTAGCGAACTCGTTTGTTTTAGCAAGGCTCCGGGCAAGACTCATCATGTGTATACGCGTTCACTGTAGTCTTGCTTAAGCTTTCCTCTCCTATCTCGTGCTGGCGTTTCCAGCTTGTTTTGGCGTTGGATGGCAGCCCTGATGAACTCAGCGCTTTGGGGAGCATTTAACGAGAGCGCTACCGGCTATTAAGGGCGGCTACGCATATTGAGCTTAGTTATTTTGTGGAAAGTTGTGTAGGTATTTGTATGGATTCAACTTCTGACTAATTTGACACGCCTTCGCAGTACGAATTGCGAGCTCTACGTCATGTCCTTGAACTCATGCCGAACTTCCAGTTGATCATTCTCTAGTTGTTGCTGTTTTTCTTGTAATTTTTACTGGATTTGAATGGTGGGGCGTGGTCAACAGTGGACCCAGGGGCCTCGGCGTCCTCTTATTAGGAACGCTTCCAGTATTGACGGCATCATTCAGAATGAATCCTGTGGACTCTCTTGCTGGCTCCTCTATCGAACCTTTGCGACTGGGTCTGTGAGCTACTCAGTATGAGCTTGAGGTGTTCAAACACACTCCATTTGTTCCTTCTGTCTTCTTCCACTTCCCTTCAGCTACATGAGGTTTTAACGGGGTTCAGTCAATTTCTTTTGCTCCACAGTTCGGTCACGTCCTCTCCATTCTAGTACCAGCTAAGAAGCGTGTGAGCACAATTGCTGCAGCGTATTGTTTGCTCCGAATTTGCCCCTCCTTAGTAATTACATAAGTGGGTGCTGTTTTCTTGACTCACGACAAAAGGTTTTCAGTGAACGAAAGGGACTTGCACCATTTTGAAGCGCAACGCAGGTGGCTTCTTACTGGATGCGCAAGGTCCCTGGTAAAACTGGCCCCAGAAAGGTAAGGCCCTTTGCTGCTGCCTGTTACCCTGTACTGCCCAACTAAGCAGCGCGAGTAGATAGAAGGTCCCAGGCACTCTCCGGCAAAACTAATTGGTTGCGTTATATAAGCAAGCGCCGGCTTTCCAGAAATGGACACAATTTGCCACGTCAGGTCCCTCACTCTGCGCTTAGCTTCTGCTTGTTACATTGTCGCTGCTGTTCTCAAAACCGTCGCTCTGCAGCGAGGAGCAGAGGAAGTGACTCGGAGAGCTTCTTCTCCCCCACGGATTCCTGCGCACAACTAGCAGACAAGTCTTCAAATTGCTTAGTTGAATTTTGTACGATTTTCCTTTTTCATTACAATCCTGCGCGCTCAGTGCATTGGGTAACGGATGCATTGTCACGGCACCTGGCTGCGCCTCGGCGTGGTGGAAAGTACAAGATCACGACTGGAACTCCCGTCACGTTTTTGATTTTGGTCAGAGCGCTGCCAGGCCACATGGAGTCCAGCTCGTTCGTTCCCAGCCGCTCATCGGGAGCCTGTTGTACTGTGATCGCCTCAGCTCAATTATGAACGGCAGAACAGAACGCTCGTTGTTTAGATAACATAAACACAACTATGTGTCGGTCTCAAGGGCGTTATCTTAGTGGTTTCGCATTACGACGAAGGGGCTTTCTCTACATACAAGGAAAATGGTAGCTATTTGCAGCCTTCGCTCGCTTTCAATTACCATTGGCAACCAAGGCTTCTCCAATGCGCGTGTTCTTTGAAGCAACGACTAGTGCCGCGTAAACTGCCCTCCCAGATATCACCGTTCGTCGAACTGAGACTTCGCCTTATTACATAGCTGCGTGGAGGCCCGTGCAAATGCAGTCGGTCATTCAACACTCTGTCTGGCCGCTTCAGCCCTGTGCCCCACTTATAGCCTTTTCACTCAGGAAAAGCCTATACTTGTTTACACAAACTTCGACTTGTAGCGCACTACCTACTTTCCAGTACCAAACTCCCTGATGCGGGCGTTGTCGGCAGCTCCATGAACAGCTAGTGCGTATCTGGGGCATAATCCTAACCATTCGCTCGCTAGCTAAGATAAGATGGGAGTAAGATAAGCAATTGCCACGCGTTTTAGCTCTAGCTTTCCCAATTCTTACCAGGCAAGGAAAAGAACACCACGCAATTATCATGTCCAACACTGCAACATTCGTAGAGACCGCTCACGATCGCGCGACCCGAGACTGGGTGACGTGCAGGGACATTCAACGGGGAATCATATACCTCTCTAAGATCAAAAGTAATCATTTTTTTTGATAGCTTATATATGATTGCGCGTAGTAGCCAAGTACCTCGTTGAACAACAGGAGGCTCTCGCTCACAGCTAGCTGCCTCCGGTGGTTGGCAAGCGACTTCCCCGAATACACCATTAGCTTTATGCAATAGTGCCAGTAACATTATGAAGTAACTCCTAACAACACCCCTGCATGGTTGCTGGGTTTAATTTGCGCAGCATTGAGGGAGCTCTGGCCAACCTCTGAGCAATTGAGCAGTGTATTTGTACTTTGATCTAGAGCTCCCGATGCCAGCAAACCATATTTTTTGCCACCTTCTTGTATTCTGCGCCGTTTCAGCACCACCAGAACTGCTACACAAAGTTGAGCTGATTTCCCGTGCTGGGCTTTTTGTGACGGAGCTGTTCTAGGCTGGAAAGCAACCTTAAACTTAGATTTGGGTTGGATATAGTCTTTCCATTGCTTCTTAGACTGGCCTGTTGTGTTGTTTGCGCACAGCTAAAGCATTTCACACATGATGGTAAGAGCCATGCCACAGACAAATCTCCCTTAGACGCGCAACTATGGAGAAGTAAATCCAAGCAACCATCCAAGTATCACTGATTTCTCTGGCTAAGCTAAAGTTGAATCACCGAAAATCTACCTATAGCAGGCCAGCAAAATCTAGAACAAGAGAGAAGCCCAACTCACCAAACTTACACTTGCCACATCCCGCTGTTCCTATTTGTTTAAGATGAATACGGTAAAACTGACACCGCAAAGTAGAGATGGCATCTTGCGCCTAGAGAACTACATCATAATGCAACTACGCGTCGATTTCATATGGGGCAACCGTACGTTTCGGACATTTTTAGTGGCCTCTGACGAGGGAAAAGTCCAACAGTTTCCTCTATATTAAACTTATGAGCGAAGTTTGTTTCAACCACGGCAGATGTCACCCAGCTGAGAAGCGAAGTATTGAAGGTACGAAGTGTACAAAAAGTGCTCTGACAGGTAAGGGGAGGGACAATTTCATAATTCAGTCGTCAAATAGGTACTGAAACTAAATCTAAGGGCCGATTAGCCTGCTAGGTGCTGAGCGGCAGCAAAGCTAGGAAATTTCCTGAGTCCTAGACAACGAAACATCAACTTGACCGCTAAGTAGAGAAGCGCTTCCCCTAGGGAATGCAGCTGGACGGAAAACACCAAAAAGATTTGAAAATTCTGGGCGGGAAAGCACGTGCGTCTCTAGAGAAAGAGCTTCTAAGACCGGAACAATACCACCCGAAGCCAAGACTATTATTTGCGAACGCAGCTAACACGAGGCTTCAAATGCTTCTCAACGAACATTGCTGATCTACTTAAAGTGACACAAGGAAATATTCCGGGGAAATGTCTTAGTTTTCAGTATGGAATAGCCCCTTTCACTGAAGCGCGACTGACTATAGCCAACATTCTGCACCAGCGTGGATCGCGTCATGAGGCCAAGCATTGCAATCATGCGATATGCACGTACTTCACCTATATGGTGTGAAAATCTGGAAAAATTCTCCTTCAGACCTAGATTAGTCTTGAAGGTGCTCAAAATATGCAGAAATTGGCTTATCAAATAGTTGCTTTGGGACAGTCCTCGAAATGATATAGATTTAAATCGATCCAGCGCTTTCCCTCCATGACTACGCAGCACTATTTCTGGAAAACATGAAATTTACTTATTTTCACTGAAGGAAAACGAGGGATCCATATTCGGGCTTACCTTGGGTGGCAGCGGTCTAGCAAGTTCAAATGCCGGTTTTGTTGGTGGACCTCTGGCCGGCTGCCGACCGGAGCCTCAACTGATTTGGGCTTGAGTTCACCTTTTGCTTGCGTAGCTTGTCTGAACGTTTCAATGAAGCTTAATTGACAGGGAGTGCTGCGCCTTGGATTATTTGTGTGAGCCAACGACAACGAGCCCAGTTTTTGGGCCACAGCGGGCCAACAAGCCGCAACACCTCGGCAACTCAACTGGTCTTGCGGCCCCGTTCCCTATATTCAGTGCAGATTGCACCTCATCGTGGCTTTACGATGTTTTTCACTTTCGTTGTGCGTCCGGGTGAGGCCCCTGAGGGCCGGGGACCGCAGCTCGAGCCATTCTGGACCTTCCTTGTAAATTACAACCTTCGCCTTGGCCTGCTGATCCAACTGACCGCCTACGCAACTCTCCTCGCAACTACATCGTCTGGCGGTAAAGATCCTCTTTCGCTCCTCAGCTTCTTCAGGTCTAACCCTGAGTCTGTCGGTACGTGGGCGCACGCATTTGCCCTTCCTTCTGCGTTTCATTTAACCGTCCCGCGTTTAGGTTTACCCATGTGCGCTTGCCCGTGCCTAACAGCGTATATTAGCGAAGCCCAAACACAGTGTAGATGCATAAGCGCTGCAATGGAAGCAATACTAATGCACCGATACTCCGGTACTAAAGCTGCAATAGGAGCTTTGCTTCCAAGGAGTGTCTCATGAAAAGGCCTGCAATGCACAGCTGTAACCATGAATTTCACGCATCTCACTCGAATTCTTCCGCACTCAGGAAAGTCCCCTCTCTGGGCAGCTCAGCTCGCCTGCTGCCTATTTATCCTTGGAAACCTCACCACGATGGCATTCCAATCTCTGACGGACGACGACAGCAGGTTAGCTTAGTAGAAGTCATGTGCCGCACCCCTTGGTAGAGCAGTTCAGAGCTTATATTTCAGTCACCATCCCCTACGGACCCTTTCGAGGGACCCCTACTTTTTTCAACTGAGCTGGAGACTGGCAGGCTGTGTGTTTGCTTGCAGCATCAAGCAGTCCCGTGGGTACCGATCCGGCACCAAGTTCTTGCAGCAAGCCTCCTCCTTTGGGCTCTTTGCATCTACCTTGGCTCTTCTTGTTTTTTACTCGGCCAATTATTACTTTGACGATCCTTGGATGAGCAAAAACTTCGGGAGTGGCTCTTCATGGCTTATCTTCTTCACCTCTCGCGTTTGCGACGCCTTTGCGCTCTTTTTCTATGCCGGGTTAGTTGTGAGAGCAATGGGCCTTCTAGGCGCTTGTCCAATTTTTTCTTTTTCTATAATGACTCGGCGTCACCACGTTTAGGTGCGGGTGATCAATGCTTCGTGTTCAGCTCAATTTTCTTCTTGGAAGCATATCACTCCGAAGGAGCTGGCGAGGCGTGGGGATGGCTGGGAGCCATTTGCTTTAAGCTTGCTGCATTTGCAGGTATGTCTCCTTCTATAGTATCTTTGTGTCATCGCCTTCAGAGTAGCAGCTTCTTCAGGGGAGCAGCTAATTGGAGCTCTTGCAAGTGCTTGTGCTGCAGAGATTGCAGCGCTAGCTGCGTGGGGAAGCTCCTCGTTCGAGGTGCTTGATGCGGTCTTCACCGTTATGCTTGGAGTTTCCCTCAGCATTGCGTTTCTTTGGTCGCTTTTTTTCGAGCCTGCCAGCCACCGGTTTGACGTTCGCCTAACACAGTCAGCGATGAGAAATGAGTACTACAAGTCTCGCAACGCCATGGCGTACTACGGCCCAGCAGTTGTGAACGCGGATGGTGAAATTGACATCGCTGCAGCTGCAGAGCAAGCCCAGGCATGTCTGAACTGCACACCCTGCTAAAGTATGATTGGATGACTTGGCCAATCTGGGTGCTTGTGGTTGCTACGAAGCCGCTACTTTGGTAATACTCAGACTGGCAGGCCATATCGTAGGCGAGAACTGTATTGCAAACAAGTGTTTTGTGGTGATATCGAATTCCTGTACAATATAGAGCAATTGTCAAGCGTTGGTGCAACGAAGGCACGCAAGGAAGTATGTTGATTCGCACCATCGGAACCATGCTAAGCTTTAGACGACATAACCCAAATAACGACTTTCTATTTTAAAACGCTTGCTCGTTGAGATAAGCCACCGTTTTCTGCTTATGATGTATCTTTCCAACGACCTGACAAGGAACGAATGTAAGTCTGTGGGCAGTGTAGTGCTGACACCTGCAGTCCTTCACTGAACCTATTTTCATCTCAATGACTATAGCTACACACCAAGGTTTTTCGTAGAGGGTGATACGCTCTTGCCAAAAACGTGCTTCAGTAGGTACCTGCGAGATACAGAGTAGTTTCTGGGTAGTATGGCAAGTGTTGGCATCTGCAGTCTCGTGAAGGAGTTATTTGTGTCTCGGTGCTCTATGGTCACGTATTCACAGTTCTGCGGCAAGAGATTAACCCTGCAAGTTTTTGTCAGTCCCGGGCTTTCATGCACTCCAAATGGCAGAAAAGGGATTTCTCTTGTTTAGACGAACGGGCGAAAAAACTTCTACACCGCTGGGTCCGCTCTTGTGGAAGACAAGACTCTTCTCATTTCATCGAGAAGTAAATGCTCGCTAAATAAGTCCAGTATAAAAGTTGCGGCTCTCAAGATGAAGCGCATTTAGTAACAAGGAATAAAAGAACATGAAAGCGGCTGCTCACTCAACAGTCAGGAACACGGATTTAACGTTTCCTGAAGCATCAGAAGGGAACAAGCAGACGCTTTGATTGTTCTAGCTTCCAACGTGCCGTCTGATGCTATTGCATGTACAAGCTGGCCAACAAACTCGGTTGGGGGCTGCAGCTCCCCTACCCTAGGCATGCTCCCGCAGTACATCGTGCGGGTTACCGATTCAGCAGCAACCGAGGCAAGCCTGTGCTTGCTCGGCAGCTGCAGCGATGTCAATTTCACCATCCGCGTTCACAACTGCTGGGCCGTAGTACGCCATGGCGTTGCGAGACTTGTAGTACTCATTTCTCATCGCTGACTGTGTTAGGCGAACGTCAAACCGGTGGCTGGCAGGCTCGAAAAAAAGCGACCAAAGAAACGCAATGCTGAGGGAAACTCCAAGCATAACGGTGAAGACCGCATCAAGCACCTCGAACGAGGAGCTTCCCCACGCAGCTAGCGCTGCAATCTCTGCAGCACAAGCACTTGCAAGAGCTCCAATTAGCTGCTCCCCTGAAGAAGCTGCTACTCTGAAGGCGATGACACAAAGATACTATAGAAGGAGACATACCTGCAAATGCAGCAAGCTTAAAGCAAATGGCTCCCAGCCATCCCCACGCCTCGCCAGCTCCTTCGGAGTGATATGCTTCCAAGAAGAAAATTGAGCTGAACACGAAGCATTGATCACCCGCACCTAAACGTGATGACGCCGAGTCATTATAGAAAAAGAAAAAATTGGACAAGCGCCTAGAAGGCCCATTGCTCTCACAACTAACCCGGCATAGAAAAAGAGCGCAAAGGCGTCGCAAACGCGAGAGGTGAAGAAGATAAGCCATGAAGAGCCACTCCCGAAGTTTTTGCTCATCCAAGGATCGTCAAAGTAATAATTGGCCGAGTAAAAAACAAGAAGAGCCAAGGTAGATGCAAAGAGCCCAAAGGAGGAGGCTTGCTGCAAGAACTTGGTGCCGGATCGGTACCCACGGGACTGCTTGATGCTGCAAGCAAACACACAGCCTGCCAGTCTCCAGCTCAGTTGAAAAAAGTAGGGGTCCCTCGAAAGGGTCCGTAGGGGATGGTGACTGAAATATAAGCTCTGAACTGCTCTACCAAGGGGTGCGGCACATGACTTCTACTAAGCTAACCTGCTGTCGTCGTCCGTCAGAGATTGGAATGCCATCGTGGTGAGGTTTCCAAGGATAAATAGGCAGCAGGCGAGCTGAGCTGCCCAGAGGGGGGATTTTCCTGAGTGCAGAAGAATTAGAGTGAAATGCATGGACTTTATTCTTACAGCTGTGCGTTGCAGGCCTTTTCATCAGTCACCCTTTGAAGCCAAACCTCCTATTTTAGCCTTAGTCCTGGAATCTTGGTGCACTAGTATTGCTTCCACTGCATCGTTTTTGCATATAAATTGTGTTTGGGCTTCACTAATGTAAGCTTGGGAGCACTGGGCATATAGGGCATTCAGGGCAGTCTGACGTGATCGAAATAACCGTGTGCGTCCACGTACCGACAGACTCAGGGTTGCACCTGAAAAAACTAAGAAGAGAGAGAGGGTGTTTGCCTCCAGTTGATGCGGTTGCGAGGAGAATTGCGTAGGCGGTCAGCTGGATCAGCAGGCCAAGGCGAAGATTGTAATTTACACAGAAGGTCCAGAATGGTTCGAGCTGCGGTCCCCGGCCTTCAGGGGCCTCACCCGGACGAACAACGTACGTGAAGTACATCTTTTGCTTGAATAAAACTGTTGCGGGATGCAATAAACGGCCTTGACTACAGACTTGCGCGTGCTTCTTCCGCTCGTTGAGACTAGACCACCAGCACAGGACGATGATCGACTCACGATGCTAAGAAAAGATTACACAACATAAAAGAAGGCTTTTGCTGGGCTGTGTCTGTGAGCAAGAACTTAATATCAACTGAATTTTCCCATAGCCTTCGGATCATGGCTCAACCGCTCGAGGCGCTGCCGACATGGCGGTCTGGTGGCCCGGAACGGCTGGCATGTTTGAGCACTGCTGCTGCCCATACTCTGTCTGTCGTTTGAAACTGCTGCTTCATTAGCTCAAACCTTCTCGTTTCTTGCTAAGCTGCCGAATATTTTGTCCAGCCTTGCGTCTAAAAATTTTGAAGCCAAGGTCACCACCACCTCCGAGTTCCCACAAATCGAGGTAGCCAGCACGGTGAGCTGACCGCCTTGTGGCCAAACAAAAAGCTCATGCTCAATTCCACCAGTAAACTGTGAAATATACTTGCTTCTCACAACGTTTCCGCAAATCTGGATGCGGTACGCCTGGAAAGGACAGAGCTCCTTCAAGAGTGGCTCGTCACTTCCTTGACGGTGACGCAGTCCCTGTGAATGATACTTATCTTCTGGGACGAGAATTTGTCAATTAAAACTGACTGTGATGCTAACTAATTAATCTTTGGGTTGGGTAGCATGGAGCGTATAATCGAAGGAAACGCCGCGAGATATTGCAGTAAGAAGCAGCAACAAGAGACGCTGCAAAAGGCCGAACTGAGTGTGACACGAGGAGCTTGCACGCTAAGAGGTAGTGAGGTCTTGCGTATATTTTCCATTAGTTCTTGCTACCCAAGGTGTTGAATAGTCACCTATTAGCGACAGGGGAGCTGCCTAACAATCATTCATTGCAAAAGCTTACTTAACGCAGGCTTGGCAAAAAGCTCATCTGTACTGCACCAGCAAAATTTTAAAGCAGCTCACAGGTCTCGGTCTTCTGTTGTTCCCGGGAGGGCGGCCACTGCTGCAGTGCATATACTGTGAGAATGGCAGCTCCAATGGAAGGACACTGAGCCACAGCGCTGCACAGTAGCGGTGATTTCAAGGCCAACACCCGTGATAATGAGCCTCGAGTTGTTAGACACCGTTATGTTTCACAGTTTTCCCAACGATAGGTAAAATTTTGCTTGGTGTGGTGCCTGGAACACTCCTCATTGTTTCGACGGAAGCACACTAATTTTCAGAACAGATGAGTTCTTGTTCCTCTAAGCACTTCTCAAATGTCGTCGCTCAGAGCACTGTACGCCTCTCCGAGTAGCTCCGCACACTTACTGTGGGTCACTTTCATATGATTGGGGGGCAGATCTAGCCATGCGGTACTGTCCAGCGTAGCTTCGGATTCAGAAAGAAGGCATCGCAATGAACCTGATGCTATGAAGCGCTGCAGAATGAACATGAGGATGTAGTATACTGCATGTCTCCCAGGCATATTTCTCGCCATTTGGAAACTAGAATTCCTATTCAAGTGTCCAGGCAACGACAGCCTGCTGGGCCGAAGCAACCAATTCTCTGACACAAAGGTCGAATAACTTTCAAGCTTCGAATACATCGACTGGGAGAATGCACTTGCGGCAAGCGCGCATGGTGGCCTGTCCACGCTTGTTCCTTCCACTGCAATGAAGAGCAGTTAGAAATCGACCCACTTATGTCATTTTTTCTTGGTGCGTCTGCAGCCTATTGCGCAGGTTCTTGGGATGATAGGGTGACTTTGACCACGTCCGCCCGGGAGTTAAGCAATGGTGTGACGGTGAAGGCTCTGCACACTGGCCCGTTGCTCAAATGCGGCAGAACATGCCTCATGCCACTACCGTGTCTAGAACAGCTAGTGAATTAGCAAAATATGAGAAGTTGCCCCATGTTGCCTCAATAGCATCAGTATCAGGAAGAAACTAATGCAGAGACGCAAGGCCTTCGAATGAATGAGCCGGACACAACTCTTTGACCGCATATCCGAAGTCAGCCATCGCACCTTCCATTTTGGATGCTATTTTTGTTCCACTGCTCTGGCACTTGATGAAGAGCTGGAGAATGCGCATATTAAAGAAGAAAACTGCGTTACTTTATGGAACAGCGTGCGATTACGCTGTTTCCTCAGCAATGAGTAACAGAGATTCAAATTCCGGGGCTGCTAGCGGTGACTGCGGGGAAGTACTCTACAGAAGCTCCTCGTGCGCTATAGAATGGTCTAAATGCGAGGCTGATCATGCGTCGCTAAATTTCAAAAGTTGGTAGCAAAGCTGTTTGTCGTTTCCACGTAGTCGTCAATTCTGTAGGCGTCGTCCCGATTATTTGTGATTTAAAGTGACCTGCACAAAAGAAACTTTTTTTTGCCCTGAAGCTCCTTGTCGTA